CGCTTTAATTTATAAGCTCAGGTTTGGTTCAATTGTCTTTGAAGCACTATGTTGTCTCTTTCTCTTTAACACTGTCTCCAGTTCTCGCCTCGAACTCCTGACTAGTATTCTTGTTTCTTTCCTCTGTCTTGTCCCCAACCCCTGTCTTCGGAGCCACATCTGAGCACCCACTTTCCACGACTTCCTGCGAGACAGTGTCGGCAGAGAGGCTGGAGTAACGGTCCCAAGCGCCCAGGCAACGTTACCCAGCTGGCGTTGGCTAATTGCCAAGCGGCGCCAAACGAAACAGCGTTAGCAGAGAAGCTAGAGCGTCATGCAATGGCGGCCGAGCCGGGCCGATCCAAGATTTGGTAATTGCCATGTTAGCGCTAATTTGCTTTAATTGGTCTTTGAGTTTGCTCCGGCTGGGTTTGTTTGCCTCGTGTAACATGCGAGACTGGTGGGTGGCCGAGGCTCGCCAATGCGGTGCGGATTCGTTGATGAGAGAGCGGTGGGCATCAGTTTCTTCCGAAGTATTTTCGATCTTGCGCATTGACATATATGACTCAATGGACCGAAACATCTTAGCTCACTCTTACCCCGACCTACACTACCTACCCTTTTTTACGTGTGCACCCCATCATCCGCCCTTCCAGGATTGACCTGGGGGCCGCAACCTATTTGGCAGTTCTGAGGGCCAGTCTGGGGAAGGGTGCCTCGATCTCGGTGTGCTTGCCTTTTCTTTGTTTCTTCCATGAGCGCGAGGTCAAATAACGGCCGCGGAGTTAACCTTCCGGGGGTGCCCCTGTGCGGATTTTGGGCCCAGTTGTTCGTATAGGGTTTTAATTTTTGGCATCTGTTTATCTCAGAGTAGTGACCGGTAATGATTGTTGGATTTGGTGCTGTGAAACGGATTTTTTTTGGAAAAAAGTCCAGAAATCGAACAAAGTAGGGCTTTCCAAGCTGCCAAAAAGTGCCTGTTTAGTAATTTTGGGCGCGATCGATTGAAGGTGCCTTATTTTTGGCCTTTCTGGAGGAGGGGGTGGCAAGGAGCGGGGGCAGGCCCAAAAAGTTCTTCCTGATTCACGGGAAAAAAGTACTTTCTGCTGTCCTCGGCCATAATCATATTCAAACCGCGTCAAAAAAGGCTCCTTCAGTGGAGGCCTAAATAAGTCTTGAAAAAAAAAAAAAAAAATGCAAAATTTGAGCTAAATTTGTGCTGGTGGGAAATGAAAATCTCGCAGCAACGAAGACAAGCATCATTTTTTGAGAATTTTCAGATCGGATGAGTGGTCTGGGAAGTAGCGTCGGCAACAACAGCATACAGCAGCAACAGCAACAGCAGCAGCTACTGCCACAACAACAGCAGCAACAGCAACAGCAGCAGCAACAACAGCCACAACAGCAGCAGTCCAGTAGCAACAACGTACAAGCTGTAAGTTATCGGCATGCGTCCGTACGCGAGAAAGATCAAACAGGGAGCTGAATTTGAAATCTTTAGCTCACACATGCACAGAGAATATCCCTGCAACTTTTCAGCTCTCTGGTTTCTCTGGTTCCCGAGGTCGCTTTCCCGCCAAAAAATCTGCATATTTTTTGAGATGCCCGTGACTGGGACGCAGGTGTATGGGGATGATAATATTAAAACGGGAGAGTCAGACAGGGCGTGGGTACATGCTGCAAAAGTTTCAGCCTTCTAGCTTTTTTGATTCACATGTTGAAAATGGGTAATAGAATGTGCGAGCGTGCAGGCACACACACACACAGGCAGCCTCTTGCCAATATGCATTTTTACATTTGCATATATGCAAAAACGCATGAAAAATAGCAGCAAAGAATAATAGTTCTGGGATTAAGACGTTTCGATCCATTAATTCGTATATACCTTTATCCTCTCGTGTGTCTGTCAGAGATGCTGTAGCTGGGAGCATTAGGAATGATTGAAATCGAGGTTGCGTCCAGAACTAATACTGAGATACACACGCTTATTGCATCGGGGACATCAGCGTTATCAGCGATGTGTTCCACGAGTACATAGAAGTTGTTGCTAGGGAAGCCGAGAGCTTTTGTGCTCTGTGTTTAGTATTTTGTATCTATTCCGATTATATATGGAATTCCCAAGGACTGTGGAGGGTCCTGTATCACCATGTGTACTGAGTTTTTATGCGTTTTATGTTGTGCAACAGCTGCACAAAACGCACATTGTCGCGGGGTTGTCTATGTGTGTCCGCACCAACTTGTCCGCAATCTTCAACTCGGAAACCACAAAAGCTAGGAAGCTGAA